GTCCTCGCCGGAGGAGATGGAAGACGAAGCGGCCGCCAGTGTCCGCGAGGAAGACCCGGAGGACATGGACTTTCTCTCCGGGCTGGAGCTGGCGGACCTGCTGGATCCCCGACAACCGGACTGGCACCTGGAGGCCGGACCCGGCTCCCCGGGGCCGCTGTCTTCGTCCGGCGGAGGCTCGGATCCCGGCGGCCCGTGGCGCGGGGACGACGACGACGACGCCGCCGCGGCGGCCGAGATGCAGCGCTTCTCGGACCTGCTGCAGAGGCTGCTGAACGGCATCGGCGGCGGCGGCGGCGGCGGCAGTGACAGTGGCGGCGGGGAGAGAAGGCGGAGGAAGGCGCCGGGAGGCGGCGACAAAGAGTCGCTGCCCGGCTCAACCGGCTGAAGAAGAAGGAGTACGTGATGGGGCTGGAGAGTCGAGTCCGCGGTCTGGCCGCCGAGAACCAGGAGCTGCGGGCCGAGAACCGGGAGCTGGGCAGACGCGTGCAGGCACTGCAGGAGGAGAGTCGCTACCTACGGGCCGTGCTGGCCAACGAGACCGGCCTGGCTCGCCTGCTGAGCCGGCTGAGCGGCGTGGGACTGCGGCTGACCACCTCGCTCTTCAGGGACTCGCCCGCCGGGGATCACGACTACGCCCTGCCCGTGGGGAAGCAGCCGCCGGAGCTGCCCGAGGAGGACGACGCGGCGGGAGGAGTGTGTCTGCATGTGGACAAGGATAAGGTGTCGGTGGAGTTCTGCTCGGCGTGCGCCCGGAAGGCGTCGTCTTCTCTTAAAATGTAGGGTCAAGTAATCTGCTCTTTATCCGCGTTTACCCCTTTCAACTCCCTTACACCATGTAAAACACCTTTAGTGTGGGACATCTTCACTGGACACATGTCAGAGGAGGAAAACAAAAAAAAGTAATATTGAGTCTTTTAAGTGTTTTAGCTAAAAAAAGCATGAATGTGACACTGTAACCCACTCCTAATGATAACCTGTGACTATTAAATCTCTCTGACAGTTTCTTTTTTAGGTGATTTCCTTCCTGCCAGGCTCCGTTGTAGGGGTTGCAGAACAGTCGTTCCCGCCTCACAACCTGGTAAGGATCCATCTCTTCACGTAACGCTCATGCTCTGCTGCTTTAGTCTACTTTAATGGGCAACATCTCAATTTGTGTGCGTGTGATTTTTTTTTTTTATTTTTTCTTTTGGAAGGTGGGAGGGGAAATCTTACTTTGGGCCCTGTCCACCCTGGAAACAGACTTGTGCTGGTCAATAATGTATTTAAGATGCTTTTTCTAGTCGAAATAGCTGTTAAATGTGTCACCTTGTTCAGACTTGCGCGTACCTAGCTCTTCTGTCCCCAGTGTGGACATGGCCTTGGAAGACATCGGTTCCAACTGTACACTGAAACCTGCTTATAGAGATACAGTTTGGAGACAGTGAAACAGGTGAAGTTGAATGGAAGTTCCGAGTTGTACAAGGTGCAAATTGGAATTCCAATCTTAGATCAACTTTTAAGAGGTTGACTAGTATTTGAGGCATGCACAAATGTGATATTTTGCTGGAAATGACAGAAATCTTTTAAACATTTAAGAATGTTTAGTTTTCAATAGGAAATACAGGAATTCAATCTAGAGTGACAGATTTTAATATTGCACCATTAGAGACATTAGAAATTAATTTACATAACAGAATTCTGTGTTTTAGAGGAAGAACAAGAATGGTTAATGAAATGGTTTTTTTTTTAAATAAAATTTTTTTAAGGACCAGCACAGTGATTAACCTGTCACTGAGTACGAATAAATGGTTGTACTCCTTTGTTTTTTGTTGTATTAAAATTTTAGGTTAAATTTATGTATGTATGATTATATATTGAAGATTGCGAAATGTGAATGAATATGTGTAAAGTGAGGCTTCACAAAGAATCGTATTGCATATTTTTAAAGTTTTGCCTTAAAAAAATTTTCAAAATGAGTAGTTCTGGTCACTCAATGTGATTGACACTATTTTTCCAAAGATGGGACATATTCTTCTTTCCAAATACTCAGTGTCCATTTGTATGAATTGAGTTACAATGTCCTTCATTGTAAGAGGCATTAAAAAATTCTTTGTGAAACATCACTGTTTGATAAAGTATATACGTATTTAGCATCCTTGTTTTTCTTTGTGCTAAAGTGGATACAGCTGTTGGGGCAGAAGAGACGGGACCAGCTGCTGGCCACATTTCCTGCTTTATTTTAAAAGGTAGTATAAGAAATGAGGAAAAAGAGGTAATATCAGGGCTTCTGCTGTTTTTTTATTTTTAAAATGTTCATAATTATTTTCCAGCAGTCCAAAGATGTAAGTTATCTTACAAGTTAAGATGTTTTATTATGTTGTTTGATTATGGAAATGAAATTCTTGTTCTTGCACAACTGTAAATGTTTTGTTGCTAGATAGTATGATTTGAGACCTAAATTGGCCTCTGGTTTCCCGTGCATCACGGCATATTTTGTAAAATCATCTACTGCACTTGAGCATGAATGGGTAATAGCCAAACTCAACCTGGAGTGACGGACCTGCTTATACTAAGGGCAGGAGCAAGCCCCTCACAATGCAGCTGCATGGATTTTTAGTGCCTACTGAATTATACATATATATATATGTATATATATACACACACACATACAAATATGTGTGTGTATATATATATATACACACACACACACATATACATATATATAAACCCAAAGTAGTTGGAAAAAAATATTTGAAATGACTAATTTGTGCTCTTTATGAAATGTTAAATGTAGCTTTTTGAAACAGAAGCCTTGAATTGAAATATAACTAATACTTGAACATTTTTGTATATATTTCTTTGTATATAATTTTGTGCAGTACCAATGACAAAAATATGGTATAATAAAACCAGGTTTGTTGATCTTTCAGTTATGGGCTCAAAGAATTTATTCATCTCTAACATGACATTGGAAAACAATGGGCGAAAATAGGAAAAATGATGATTGTTAATGCTGACTATGGGTCTTAAAAAGTTCTGGATTCAGTAAGTTTGTTTTTCTAAAAATTACACCACGGAATATTTTCTTCCTAACATCAGTGCTTTTCATGCATTGTTTGAGCTGGGGAGAGAGAAGCAGTAGTAATCGACGCTTTCTGAATTGGGATATTTTTAGATTCCAAGTATAGATTTTCTAGAATGCCATTTTATAAATGGCAGTTTGGAGAATTACATGATTAACAACTTTTGAAAATGGAAAGATTAGTTTGTCCTGTGTTTAAAGCTGCTTTGTTAGATTTCTCATGTTTTATTAATTGTCTTTTCTTAGTTTCCATTTCATTATTTCTTTTCTAGTTTTGGTGATTTAGTGATTTTGTCATTTTTTACATCAATTCATGGTCTTGTTTTACATGGTAATTGCATGTACTTAGGTCTATCTAATTAGGGACTTTAAATGAATTTGGTCATATTTATGTGTAAGCACATTTTACTGTAAATGTTTGGGTTTCTGAATTTACAACAGATGTTTATTTCAATATGTAGTAAACAGTATCTTAAAGTGTCCTATTCACAACTGTTAATTAAAAAAGTTATGATTAATATAAAACTGTTGTCTTACTATTTTTAGAAAATTGTATTATGGATGGTTAGTATTTGCTTAAAGAAGATTTCTGGAATATAAATAGATTGTTTACAAATTTTCAGGCTTGGTTCTATATATAGTAATGATTGCAAACATTTTAGAATTTAGGGAGCCGTTTTGCTATTTATTTTTCCCCTCATGCCTCTATGATAAAATGATACAGAACTAGACTAAAAATACAGATTTTAATACTTTCTTTCCTATAGTGTCAGGAATTCAAACATTAACACATCATGACCTATTTCTATCATATTGACTTGTTTCTGCACTTCCTTGACCAGACTTAACTAAAAAGTACACATTTGTTAAAATGTAGTCACACTTCTGATCAACAAAGTGTTCAAAATATTTAAATATTTGTGCATTTTATAATCACTAAATTAATCTCTCTTTCTTCTCTTTAAACAGCTTAGCAGTATCTGCAAAAAACGAATCTTTTCCTACAACCTGTTAACTGACTGGACTGATGGTAACAAAGTAATTGTGGGAGCCATGTCGGTCAAAAATTTGGCATCTGCTGAAAAACAAAAAAAGAATGCCATTTTCAAGTTCCCAAATTACTTCTATTCTGATTTCACTTTCCAGAAATGGAGATATGAAAAGATTCTCTGGAATGCTTGAAAGACTTACTAGAAATACATAAGACAACAATTATACTTTTTTTTTTTTTTTTGTCTTTCATGGGAGTGATACTCAGTTCATTGCATACTTTTCAAAAATTGTAACTTTTGGAGAAGAGAATTATAGTATTTCATCAAGAAATATTAGATTCTTTCCATAATCAAGACCACATCCTATGGAATTACATTTAGCAGACTAGAATTACATAAACAGGTTACCTATCAGTAATTACAAAGCAAATTGAGTTTGTATTTATTTCCTGGAATGTAAGAGTTAATTTAGAGGACAGAAACCCTTGCTGAGTACAATATAAAAGTTAATGTAAAGTTCTTATAAAGAGTAGTCTTCTGAAATAGATTGTTTTTATGTCTTTGAAAAAAGTTGATTATGATAAAATGTGTGGTTAGTTGATTGCAATTTAGGGATAATTCTAGGATGTGTGAAATTTGAGGATTTGGCTTCTTGAGCTTTCTTTGAGTACTTTTATACTGTATTTTGAATATTCTGAGGTTTCTCTTGTTTCCTATTAAAATTTCTTTAGTGTTCTGTAAGGGATTTAGTGGGAGTGACTTATTTTATATGGTGGTTTTAATTAATTGAAATATTTTTCTTGTTTATTACAAGTATGAAAAACATTCAAAACTGGATTGTTTTCATTTTTGATGGAGTATGCTAATTCCCTCACCTGATTTAGATTGAGTCATTTTATCTTCACTTGGGAAGTATGCAGATGATAGAAGAGAGAGAAGTGGGTAGGAGATTGGCTCATATTTCACAGTAACTATAGAGCTGGCTTTTGTTTGGCAATCAAAACTTACTATGTCCACTCTGTTTTTTCCTGATCTAAGTGCATTCAGTCCCTGCAAAGTCAGGCAGTCAGTAAACATTCCCATTGGTTTGTACTGCAGTGGCTGATGTTCCTACAGATTCCAGAGTTTAAAGTTGAGGCACTAACATTTTGGTGACCAGAAGTACTTATCTCTTTGGTATTACAGTATTATAATGAATAGTTGTCTCTTTTTTAAAAAACTATTTGAGTAGTTGCACAAAGGAGTTTCAGTTCAATATCATTATCTTTTTAATGTGTGGCCGGTTCAGCTGTTTAAAGGTATAAATTAAGATCAACTAAATATTCCTCAAAGTTAACTGGTAATACTTACAAATGGTCCCCCCCACAAACAAAATTTATGATTTTACTATTCCTTTGAGCTGGTATTTTTTTGTTTTTAGTGGGCAGATTGTTTTTAAAGGTCTCCCATTAGATTCGGAATTTCAGAATGTTTTTTGGCTACCCCACAATATTTTCATATATTTGACTTTGAATACCTTTACATGAAACTCAGTACTTTGATCTGGCCAGTCTAATTTTTGACCTAAAATTGCTTAGTGAATTTTTTTTACAAGAACTAGTTTAAACCTTTAGTCACTAGTTGTATTAGAACACTGGATAATTCTGTTAACAATTTTAACTTATTCGGAGCTCAACTTTCCTCAGAATAGAATTCCAAATTCTCTATCCTTCCTATATTATGGTACTGGGGTTAAATTCTTAGCAACCCTTCTGGCTCTACAGTTTGGAGTTTACAAAATATATCAGTATAATAAGGCATTCTATCTTAAAGCCACCTAAATAGACACAGTGGATTATAAAAATCTAAATTGTCTACTGTTAACTAGACTGACTTAAAAATCCATTTTCCTGACTGAGCCTGTTCTACAGGTGCTGGCAACAAATGACTCAGTTGTAATATAGGTTCATGTCATTTGTCTACCTTCTGAATAGAATATGGTAGATTTGTATGGAACAGAGTAAACCATTTCTATTAATTGAAAAGACAAGAATTAGCCAAGTGTGGGAGTGCATGCCTCTAATTCCAGGTACTTGGGAGATAGTCATGACTAAGTTTAAGGTCAGGCAGGCAGAAGTAGCAAGCCCTGTCTCAAAACTTAGAAAAGTAAAAAAAGAAACAGAAGGGCTAGCCCTAACTAGCAAGTGCTAGATCTCAGTCTGCCCTCCTTCCCCGCATTAAAAAATAAATAATAAATTATATATATGAGGGCAGATGTTAAAAGCCCTTTTTTGGTTATTGAAACCATTCTAAATGCTTGTATCCACTTATAGCTGCAGCTAGTAATAATCAAAACTTAGTTACAGTAGTGACCATCTTGGGTGTATTATTAATGTTTCCAGTTTGGTAGTGTGGATTTTTTTTTTAAAGGAACCCTTTAATTCTTTAACCCTTCTAATTCATAATTTGTGATAGGTAGAATTCTGTTTCAATAAAAGTAATGGATGGCTGGGATATGGTTCAGTGGCAAAGCAGTTGCCTAGCAAGTGTGATGTTCTAGGTGTATCAAAAAAGAAAAGACCAAATATATAAATATAACAGTTAAAGTAATGGGAGGCTGGGAAGGTGGCTCAGTGGTAGAGTGCTTGTCTTGCAGGCATGAGGCCTTGGGTTTGATTCCTCAGCATCACATAAGCAGAAAAAGCCAGAAGTGGCACTGTGGCTCAAGTGGTAGAGCGATGGCCTTGAGCTGAAGAGCTGAGGGACAGTACCCAGGTCCAGAGTTCAGGTCCCACGACCGACAAAAAAATAAAATAAAGGAAATGCAGGTAGGCAGCTTTGGATCACAGAACTTTTTTTGCCTTTTAAATTTTACATATGGATATTTTTCCCTCTGGTTGTAAAATATACAAACAGGAACTTCAGAAAAGAAGAAATTACTCAGGAATCTACTATAAATACTTTGGCATATTCCCTTTCCTGTACATAGATTATACTTGGTGTAAATTTTTTACAGATGCTTGGTAGAGAATATGTTTTATGTGCCTGTTGAAAGAAATAATCTTTCCACCCTGGTGATCATGGGGTGACATGTCACAGCCAGATCGCCCTCCCATCTAAGAAGTCATCTTTCACAATTTATCTTCATTTTGTGAAAACTTGAAAATATTCCAGTCTATTTAAAATCACTGGCAGTTCTTTTTAAAGCAGGCTGGAAGCCTATTTTACTTATAAAGCTATCTTTTGTAAATTGTATTTTTATATAATTCTAAGATAAATTTCCTTAACAGAAAAAGTCACTTTGCAAAGAATAGTAACAATATGCTCATGATGGCACATTTTTCTTGGTTCATTCCTGTAGCAACTAGTATGCTTTATAAGAAACCTTAGACCTACGTTATCCTGTAGTCATATACCCACATTGCAGGTACTCAAAAGCTTCTAATGGGTGGTAGCCAACATTACTACCAGTGCAGGTATAAACCGTTACCATAGAAAGTTCTGTTGGACAATGCTGATTTAGGGGCTGTTAAAAAAGAAATGGTTTAAAGAATTGAGAAATCAGATCACTTCAAAGACTTAAACCATCAAAGGAAATGAATCCATTAATATATTTCACACAGCAAAATCAGGAGCAGTAAATATGAATTCCAAGTGCTATGTTAGACTACATATACGTATGAATGTTGGAATACAGAGGGTTTATTGGCTTATTAGCACAAAGCTCAAGCCCGTGAAATTATAAAGAACAGTTCTTTTATTGATGGAGGCTTCAAGAGAGACGGCTTAAGTCTTATACAGTGTTTCAGATGAGATAGGTACTTAATGTGAAGAAGTGGATGAAACGGAGAGACACTATTGGGCAAACCAGAGAAATCAGTGTTTTTTTTTGTTTGTTTGTTTATGCTTGCCTCACTTAGTGCTCTGCCATTCATTTACATCACCAGGCCTCCTGTTTGCCTTGGGTAGTCCTTACTACTTACTGTGTTGCCCTGTGTAGTACTTTTGTTGTAGGGTCACAGAATTATATACACTTCGTTTGATAACTTAAAATCTTTGTATTTTTAACAGAGACAGGCTATTTTCACCAATTTATTTGTTTTAAGTCATTTTTAGGTCAGGCTCAGGTAACTGAAGAGCCTTTATGAGTAGTTTATACTGTCTAGATCCAAGGTATGCTGCAAATGTAGTCTGAAGTAAAATGGGAAATAACATTTTTCTAAAGACAGGCTTAGAAATCCTGATCCAGTAAGTTAAGATGTTTGCTTTATCTGGTAGCAGTGCTGATCCATACCTAGGAGAAAACATTGAGATACTTTACTACAAAAAGACTATCAAGTAGCAAACCTATACATAAAATATATTTAATCCTGGAAGTTTTAAGGTAAAATTTATCTATTTAAAGATAATGCCACTCTCAATGCCTGTTCTAAAAGCTGTCCTGTTTTCTTTTTTTAATTTAATTTAATTTATTTTTTAATTTTTTTAATTGTGAAAATACCATACAGAGGGGTTACAATTACATGGGCAAGATAATGAGTACATTTCTTATCAAGCATTGCAGCCTCCTCCTTTGTTTACCCTTCACATCCCTTCCCAGCCTCCTCCCCCCCCCGCCCAGCTGTCCTGTTTTCTTTTGCCCTGTTCACCCGTGGAAGGTCTGACAGAAGAGTTCAACAGTGAATAACCAGAATTACTTCAGAATAATAGGCTTATAGATAGATTAGGGATATAATTTGTCTTGAATATAAGTGTTGAAATTTAAAAATCTTAACAAAATATCATGCTAGGCAAAGTACTTACTTGCCCATTTATAGTGAGCATTCAGTGCACAGATTAGGTTAGTTTTGAACTATACCGAGGCATTTTAACTTGATAAAATTAGATTCTTTTTTTAGAAACCTATCTTAACTACTGATCATTCTGATCAAAAATCCTGGGCTGGGAAGGTGGGTCAGTGGTAGAGTGCTTGCCTTGCATGCATGAGGCCCTGGGTTCAATTCCTCAGCACCACATAAGCAGAAAAAGCTGGAAGTGGCACTGTAGTGGCAGAGGGCTAGCCTTGAGCTGAAGAGCTGAGGGACAGTGCTTAGGCCCAGAGTTCGGCAAAAATTAAAAAACAAAACAAAACTTTTGGCCTAAATGCCTTACAAAAAGAAAATACATTTGCTGTTTTAAGTTCTGAGTTTTCTATGTATTTGTATACACTGTAGATTTTTAATGATTATGAGAAAACAATCTTACCTGGCTGCTAGACCACCATTTACAGGAATAGCCAAGATAATAGGGTACAGACTACCCACAACTAAACCAATCAGTCCACCCCGTGTCACAGTACAGGTTTCACAACTCAAATCACCTAGGAAATAAATCTGTTAGCTCTAGAAGTAGTGGTCATGACAGTTGCCACTGTCAAACATAACTTAAAGGATCCGAGGTCCATTTAACTTTCAGATATTTTATTTTCATGCAGTAAAGCAGCAAATGGAATTCTGCACCTCCCTGTTTACAATATAGTTCTTGTACAGACTTAATGTGGGCAAATCCATGGATTTGATCCCCAATATCCGGACAAATAAAAAAGTGCATGTGTAATACCTAAAACAGCCAGGAAAAAAAAAAAAAAACTGATAACACCTCAGGAAAAAGAGTGTCTAGTTGGTTTTGGATTGGGTTATAATCATCTCAAGCTACAGGTAGCATCTAGCTTTCTGTACTTGTTTTGTATCAGCAGACTTAGCCTAGTCTTTTCACTATTCAGTGTACCTGGCAATAACTTGGATCATCAAATTTTTCCTGACTTAAGGGATTCAAACATACTAATTGAATTAATCAGACCTGGAGCAGCATTTAACTAGAGATAGACTACTGTTTTTAGCCTTGTATTTTAAATGATTAATCAAAGGATTTTTTTAAATGTACTCAAGCATTTAGCACATCTTAAAGTTCTCTAAGTTAAATCTACTATTTGAATACATGCATGTAGTACTTTAAGAAGCTAATAGTTTAATCCACCCCCAAAATTTTCCCCTTTGAAGAACTTCTCTATTGTGTATGTCAGTATTTAAAAACAAAATTTAAAAAATAAAACCACTCATACACAATGTTTCAAAATACTTCTTCTGAGGGCTTTGAGGAAGATACTTCATGGAAAGTAATTAGAATTGCTATGTACATTTTATTTGTTTGGTAAATCATCGTATTACGAATTGTGTCACATAACAGCCTCATGAGATTTAGTCTTATCAAATAACCACATTATATAGCATGTTGCTACTATATATTAATATTTAAGTATTAACTAAATCAAACTCTTAGGTGATAGTGAAATAGAACTTACCTGTACTCAAAGGTAAACTTACAAAACCTTTGTAAGCCACAGTAGCTGTCAAAAATGGGATCACTGCCATTGGTAAGCCAGATGCCACTGGAGCCTTTGTAACATTCAAGACACGTCGAAAAAGACTATTAGCTATTAGACCACAAAAAGCAGCATTAAGTCCAACGTATGTTGATCCATATTCAAGGACATTCCTAAGAAGGTGAGAAAATAATTTTTTTATTATGTTTGGCTAAGATCTCCAATTCTGGAATACATTACAGAATTTGCCAAGACTTTGGGAAAAACATGTCTATTCTTTAATAACCCCACAGAACCTAACGGTAAATCATTATATTTAGGCCAGATTCTTACTCTAAAAAGCTTTCGAATTTGGTCAGTATTTAAGGATACAGAGAGAGTTTGCTAAATGTGTTTTATGATGCTTGCAAAGGATATTAATACAGAGAATTTCCCCCAACTATGCCATCAGAAGCAGCTTGTTAAGAATGAGTTGGATGGCTCTCTTCTGAGTTCCCACAATATCCACTCAGTACTTCTCCAGTGCATCTATAAGGTGGTAAGGACCTTATAGAGCTTTACAAGTGACGCTTTCCCGTCTATTCCGATTTATAAATAGACAATAGATACAACGATGTGCTTAACTTGGTTTCCGTTTAACTCCACAATGTGTTGTGTTAACACAAAGTGTTTTACCTAAAGATTCAGTCTCAGGAATGAGCTATTGAGAAAGTATTCAAATTCAAGTGAGACCTTGCTAGACCTTACTTGATATAAGAGTAAAATGAAATGAAGTTTAATCCAGTGTATTTGTGAATTTAGAGCCCTGTTCAGTATATTCTTTAGTTTTGGGGAAAAAAAAAACTATCACTGAATGTTAGAAATATAATAATTATTTTTACAACTTGTATTGCACCTGTAGTGCAATTCACCCCTTAAAGTTTTTATTACTCATAATTAGTCAGACCAAGCCCCATGATAACTTCTGAAGTTTATACTCATTGAAAAATTTTTTCTCAGACTCCCAGTAAACGCTGTACATTGTATAATTATGAATACTTTGTATTTATAATAACATTTGTCATTTCAATCATTGAGAGCCTATTACATGCAGCAGACTTGGTAAATGTATAAAAAATTACCCCCTACCTTCAAGATTTGCATAGTTTATTAGTATTGGAGAAGAGACAATATAATAGCAATCTATAGAAATGGTTCAGGAACTTGGGGTACACATGATATTTAAAGAGTGAAGAGAGCTGAGCACCAGTGGCTCACACCTGTAATCCTAGCTACTTAGGAGGCTGAGATCTCAGGATTGAAGTTCAAAGCCAGCCCTGGCAGGAAAGTCCATGAGACTCTTATCTCCAATAAACCCTAGAAAACTGGGAGTGGTGCTGTGGCTCAAGCAGTAGTGCGCTCCCCTTGAGCTGAAGAGTTCAAGTCCCCCCCTCCCCCCCCAAAAAAAAGACAGCCTAGAAAACATACTAAATAATCATGGAAAATGTAAATGTGAGATTAAGGGAAAGAGAAACAAGCAATTAATCTAAATTATTTATTTTATCCTTATTAAAAACCATGTGAAGTATGTACTACTGTCCCAACTTTAGTTATAGAAACAACTCAGAAATAATAAAAAATAATCCAACTGGAATCTGAAGAACACACTTCGTTATCTCCCAGCAACATTTTAATTTCCTGTAAGACTTGAAGTTTTTAGTAACTAATTCATTTAGGACAAAATTGTCATTACCACCCCCTCTAATTTTCCAAGGAGGGGTTCTTCCATGGAGGTTCTTTTTTGGCAAGACATACAGGAAAAAAGCAGACACTTTAAATAAGAGACCAACTTAACAAACAGTAGTGGAATATAAAATATAATTATTCCATAGATGAGGAATTAAGGTGTTTGAAAATAAAAAGTTCATGCACTTCAAAATATACCAAGTTACTGTTAATCATATTTAATAGTCTGACAATGAAATAAGGGATGAGGATCAAAAAGATAAGACATAAATGAACAGAAATTGGAACAAGGAAAAAATAATAGGGCATTGTTACATGCCCTGATTAGGTGCAATGTTTGAAAGCAATTTATGATCTCCAAGTTAAATCTTTACTTTCCAGGTCTAGGTCATTTCCTAATGCTCTCTTCTAATTTGGTGAAAGTACCAAAGAAGCTTTCCTGTCTTTAAGGCTGCTGTCATCTAATTCATTCTTTATATTCATCTTTATAGCTTCCTGCCTTTCAAGTTTCAAGCAACACGGGGTATTCTTTCACTTGTATTAGGAAGATAAGTTTATGCATGTGTGTGTGGGAGGGGGATTGGTGGTGGTGATGACTATAGATAGCTTCTCCCTTGTTGAGGCAGTGACAGTAAGATTGCAATTAGTATAGTTTTCACACCTGAAGATAGGAAAATAATTCCAAAATACATATCAAATCCTTTCCCTTTCATCTCAATGTGATGTGTGCAACCCTCTTTGCTTACCAGGATTAGTATGCTACGTTGATTGTCTTCCTCTTTCTTTTCTACCTTAAATCTTGTCTCCAAAAGGCAGCTTTAACATTCATTAGAAAAACTAGTTGGATTGCATTTTCCTGCTTGAAATTCTTCAGTTTCTTATGTCCATTTGCCTTATGCTTCAGTAACACTGAGTCATTAACTATGAGAAACCCTTCAGCCTAGGAATAGGTAATCCCTTCTGAAACAATGCCCTTCCCTCTTTCCAGGCTAGCTCCTTTTCATCCTTTAGAAGCATCATCCATTTCATTTGAAATGTAACTTAGTCAGATTTACTGGTTGTCAAGGAGAACTAACAGCATTTTGTGGAAGTACACTGTGATTGCATGTGATTGTCTGAAAAACTCAGTATATTTCCTTATTTCCTTGAAGATCTTGTGGTTTGGGTGGTACTATAATTTAAACTCAGGGTCTTATGCTTGCTCAGCTGGTGTTCTACCACTTGAGCCTCACCTCCAAACCTGATTTCTGTTGGTTATTTTTCTGCCCCAGCTGTCCTTGAACTGTGATCCAGTATCTCATCCTCCTGAGTAGCTAGGATTACAGTGTTAGCCACTAGTGCTTGGTTCTTAGTAGTATCTTTTTTTTTTTTCTCCAGTCCTGGGGCTTGAACTCAGGGCCTTAGCACTGTCCCTAGACTTCTTTTGCTCAAGGCTAGCCACTTGAGCTACAGTACCACTTCTGGCTTTTTCTGTTTATGTGGTACTGATGAATCCAACCCAGGGCTTCATGCATGGTAGGCAAGCACTCAACCACTAAGCCACATTCCCAGCCCCTTAAAAATCTTTAGCCACGGTCTAATTTCTCTGGCATTCACTTTCTAGCCACAGGTCTGGGTACTTTTTACACAGGTAAGCAATACTAATAGAAATGAATTTAGAAATAAGAAATGAATTGGGAAAGATTAAGTTTTTAAGTTTTATTATTCAAATAGGCCCATAAATATTTACATGTATGTGGAAAAGCTAAATTATCATGCAACTATATACATCTAGAGACACCTAGCCTCAACTTCCAAAAATAGCTATGCAGTGTTGAGCAAAATGATTAATCTCTGAGCCTGTTTCCTCAAGAGAAGGGCTACCTGTGGGTGATTCACACTTGTAATCCTAGCTTCTCAGGAGAATGACCAAGGTTTGAATAGACTTCAACTTCAGTAAACCATCAAAATTTCATACTGGAGGTGTGATCAATGATAGAATGCCAACCATGAGCAACAAAATCAAGTGAGAACATGAGACTGTTAAGTTCAAGATCTGTTACCCCAATACCTTCCCCCTCTAAAAAGAAGAGAAAAAAAGAGAGAAAGGGACTTAGTTTCTTGATATCCTCTGTTATAAGCCACATAAACATGAGATAATGATGAAAATCTATCTGTTGAAAGCTATTTTACAATTAGGAGATCCTAGGGCTAGAGCAAGGCTTAAGTAGTAGAACACTTGGCTATGATGTGCAATGCCCAGAGTTTAAATGTCAGTAACAAAAGAAAAAAAGTTTAAGGGAGTCTTACCTATCTGCTTCTGGAAGTTGGTTAATTTTTCTGGTTATGATATCAAAAACTAAGTTTTCCTTGAGAGTATCATCTGGTTTATGATCCATCTTGAACCTTTAGAAACATGAAAACATTTTTCAAATCCACAGAAAAAAATTTTTAATAGCTTTCTGAAGACTAAATAGTTAAGAAAGGACTGCAGATTAAGTTCATGATTTGAAAATCTACACACAAAAGAACCCCCATGCACTAAAAATAAATGAAAATAGTGATAATAATGAAATAGCAAAATATGAGAAATAATTTTTTTTGAGAGGACTGGAAATGTGACTCAAGTATTTCAGCACTAGCTATGAGTGGAAAAGTGAATTGTGTGCAATGCCCTGAGTACCAAGACACAAAATTTTAGGAAATACAGAATATTTTTACAATCCCCCAAAATCTCTTGAACAATTAAAAAATAGCATTAAACAGAAGACAGAGAATTAACATTAATGTTGGTAACTTGTGTTTATCTACAGATACAAAGACAAGGAAATGTAGGAGGAAATGTTTGCAACTTACAATAGTTAAAACCCAGAACATATACAGAACAGCCAACAGAAAACACTTTGTGTATGTGTGTGTGATAATGGGGAATCCTGGGTTTGAACAGCACTCTGCTTTGGAACTCTATTATAGTTATGCCCCAGCCCTTTCTATTTTGTTAAGATAGGGTCTGTAATTTTGTGTGGTCTGGCCTTGAGCTTGAATCCTGCCCCTGCCTCCCAAGTAGCTAGAATTACTAGGCATTGTACCACCATAGCCAGCTGGGAAATATTTTAACAAGCACTTCTCAAAAAAAGGCACGTCAAACTGCCAATAAATGTGGAAGAATCTCAACTTCAACACAACTGGGAAAATAAAATCACAATGAGGTAAATTTTCTACTAAACAGCCAAACAAAAATTCTAAAGTTTTACAGGTAACTTGATTGTAGATGAGTAAGAAAAAAGAAACATAACATTGTAAAAATCATTCTTGGCTGGCTGAACAGAACAAAGTTTAGACCGTATGTGGTTAAGTTACCAATAGTTTCCTTGATCTCTGCACTGGACAGGATGAATGTCAAGAGTAGGGGAATGGTGAATAAAGATTGGGTTAGCTAAACAACACTTTCAAGCTAACAGTTTTAGAAAAGCAAAGGTTGCAGCGATTCAGGCTTGGAATCCCATCACTTAAGAGGCTGAGGCAGGAGGATAAAGAGTTCAAGGCTAGCCTGGGCTACTCAGCAGAACCCTGTCTCAAAAAATATAGTTTAGAAAAAGGAAGGAGGGAGGTGTGAAAATATAATTTGTATGCACTTAACTGTACCTATCTATGGAATTATCACAATGAACCCTCATCCTATATGCTAATTAAAAAAAATAAAAGCTAGGTGTTGGTTGGGAGTCTTGAGATCTGGAGGATGACAAGGTTCAAAGCTAGCCTCGGCAGACAAGTTGATTTGATCCTATCTCCAAAATAACCAGTAAAAAAAGCAGGGAAAAATGAGGTTCAAGTAGTAAAGCAACCAACCTAGCAAGTTCAAGGCCTTGAGTTCAAACTGTATTATTGCCAAAATAATAAAGCTAGAATTAAAAACAAAACAAGCATAAAACAAAGTTACAGGATAACATAATTTTGTTTTTGGTTTTGTTTTTTTTTTTTTGTCAGTCATGGGGCCTCAACTCTAGGCCTGAGCCCTGTCCCTCAGCTCTTCAGCTAAGGCTAACACTCTACCACTTGAGCCACAGTGCCAATTCTGGCTTTTTCTGCTTATATGGGGCTGAGGAATCGAACCCAGGGCCTCATGCATACAAGGCAAGCACTCTACCACTGAACCACCTTCCCAGCCCCAATAACATAGTTTTATGAATCAGATTAGTCTGCTACAAGATCATAGCATTACTTTAACAAATATTTACATATAAAAGTAATTTGGAGAATGTTGAATCACTGAAATTCAGCGTCTAGATGTAAAATTACCCAAGAAGCTGGGCTGCTCGTGGCTCACTCCTGTAATCCAGCCTACTCAGGAGATTGACGTCCTAGGATCGCGGGTTTAAAGCAAGTCTGATCAGGAAAGTCCTTGAAACACACCTCCAATTAACTAGCACAAAGTAGTAGCACTGTGGCTCAAACTGGTAGGGCGCCAGCCTTGCCCAGTGGCTAGGCCACGACATCAAGCCCAACAACTGACCAAAAAAAAAAAAAAAAGGATAAATTTGGGTCAGATGTCTAGGACTTAAAAATTTAGGACTTAGATTTCGACAGTGATAGAGAAAATCCACGCTACATAAATGAGGTGGAGGAATAGGTATTTAATCAAACTCAAATAGGTCCTCATGAGTAAGTCAGAAATTTTCTTTACAGTGTCGGGCCCAGTACTATTATCACCTTTCTGTTTCATGCTCTGAAAACTGGTGAAGTGAAATACGTTTTTACACTGTTTCTCTGAAAACTCACCCTTAATTCCCTAAGAGTGCAGAGTAGCACTGGTAGAATTGTACTGATTGTATTAATTGTACTAATTCCCTATTAGAACAATCCCACCTTTACCGCAAACATTTCAGTAGGTTTTTGAATGACCTTATTACTAAAACATTCAGAGACAGGTAACAGGTAGGACTGCGTACTGAATCTGGCCTGGTTACCCTTTAAATGCAGTTATCCTTGGGATTAAATCCAGTCACTTAAATACAAGGTCTTTCCTTCTAGAATGGAGAACAGAGGGTCAGCCAGCACGGTGGGTCCACCTCCCCTCCTCCCTCGTTTCATTCCTGATCGCCGGTGGACTATGTCGCCACACGTTTCTTCTTCATCTCTTTTCCCAGAAAGACACTACCTCCCAGCAGCCGGCTCCGGGTTTCCTCCTGGGCCGCTCGGGTCTCACTACCACCTTTGCTCCATTTGCCTGGGCGCAGCCATCTTTAGCCGACACGTCACTCTGCGCGATCTCCACTTCCGGTTAGACTTCCGGCGTGCTGCGCGGCGGGGGAAGGAGCAGTCCTTTCAACCCCTGCCCGGGAGCGGGTTTGGAGAAAATGCGGTATTTTACATATAAACTGCGTGGCCTCAAACGCTACTATTTTGCTGAAAATCTTCTTGGGTACACTACTTTTGGCCGGTGGAGTCCAGCTCCTGAGGTTGGCCCGGTGTGTAGGCTGGCTCAGAAGAAGTCGTAAAGGAGGGGGGCTCCACTGTTGTTTCCCCTCTCCCCCCCCTCCTCCCCACACCTTTTTAAGCTCTCGCTTCTGTGTTAGGATCTGATTGATTGTCCAAATATAACGAGCAATTTGAGCAAAACTTTATTTTTTTTCCAGTTCTGGGGCTTGAACTCAGGGTCTGGGCACTGTCCCTCAGCTCTTCAGCTCAAGGCCACAGCACCACTTCCAGCCTTTTCTGTGTGCATGCTAGGCAAGCACTCTACCACTAAGCCACGTTCCCAGCCCACAACCAAACTTATTTGTAAATATTTTTATAGTTATAAGTGTGATGAACAGAGGGGTTACACTTACACAAGACAAATGACATTTCTTTAACTTTTTTTTTGTTATTATAAGTGATGTGCAGGGCGGTTACAGTTACATAGGTCAGGGAAAGAATATGTTAATACTTCTTGTATAATGTCACCCTTTCCCTCCTGCTCTCCCTGTTTTTCCCTCCTGTCCTCACCTACAAATTGTATTGTTCATTTTCAACATAGAGAAAACCAACTTTTAAGGCAGAAGAAAGACAAACTTAAAAGTCCCAAGATGAAATAGATCAATACATACACATTGTACAAGGCAGAGATTACAAAAGCTTCCTTTTAAGATTAAAATATAAATTACTACAATTATTTAATGACTTTTTATGAATTTGAATAAAACCCTGCATAATCTGGCTTCAAGATGACTCCAAAATCACCTTGAGCCATTTTAATACTCATTGTACTTGTTTGCATTGTACTTAATTTTCATTTCTTAACTCTTAAGGGTTTTTAACATTACAGCCATGCCGCTTTGCTTGGGCCACTCTCCATCCCTAGATTTCACCTGGCGGGTGTCTCATTTTTCAAATCTCTTGATTTTTCTAAGCAAACCTTGACCATTCTAAATTCTGTTAACCTCTCTATCCTGTTTCTTTCAAGGAATTAATGTATTTTCCTTATCAAATATTTCATGAAACTATCTATGGACTTTCTCACATGATAGTGAGATACATAAAAACAATTGTAATTGTGTATTTTATGCTATTTTTGAGATATACAAGGAACAGTTTGGGACATCTGTTTTGAATAGCCAAAATCCTTTCAAGAGAACAGCTAGTTCATGGGAGGCAATTCACAATGGTATTACTATATCTTTTGTGACTTGAGCTTTACTTCAAGAGTGTTTACATAGGGCTGGGAAGGTGTCTCAGTGGTAGAGCGCTTGCCTTGTATGCATGAGGCCCTGGGTTCGATTCCTCAGCACCACATAAGCAGAGAAAAAGAGCCGGAAGTGGTGCTGAGGCTCAAGTTGTAGAGCACTAGCCTTGAGGTGAAGAGCTGAGGGACAGCACCCAGGCCCAGAGTTCAGGCCCCATGACTGGACCCAAAAAAAAGAAAAAACAGAGTGTTTACATAGTGATCTTTTAAGTTTCATATTGTCCTTCCCTTTGAGTCAGAGGACAGTTTTGTTTTCGAAATAGGGTAATAAACTGCCTCTTCCTTAAAAACAAAGTTTGAAAAGTTTGTTTCTAGTCCCCGTGTAAATTTAAGGTTCACCTTTTCTTCAGCTACCACATAGATACCCCTGTGTAGCCCTCACCTAGGCCTACCTCATTACCTCTGTGTTGGGACTTGAGTGGACAGATGAAGCAATGCAAACCTGAATGCTCATTCTACATGCCTTTTAGAGATCATTTCCTCATCACTGGTTGAAACAGTGGAAGTGTAGCACGTCTGCTGCCATCACATTGCAGCTTAGGGAATATTCATCACTTGATTCAAAACTATACAGTACAATAGCCACGAACCATATGTGGCTATTGACCACAAGAGTGAGGAAGACACTACATGAAAGGAAATGTACTCCATTACTTGACTCCTGTCATTGTAATCTGTGTAGATCATGTTTCTAATAACAATAAAGTAAATAAAAAGGAACATAGTCCAAATTGGGATTTGCTGTAAGTAGATGACATGCACTATTATTTTGATTTTTTTTTTGGGGATCTGGTCGTGGGGGCCTGAACTCTGGGCCTGGGCGCTGTCCCTCAGCTCTTCAGCTCAAGGCTAGTGCTCTACCACTTGAGCCACAGCACCACTTCCAGCTTTTTTATGTGGTGCTGAGGAATTGAACCAAGGGCCTCATGCATGCAAGGCAAGTGCTCTACCACTGAGCCACCTTCCCAGCCCCAACATGCACTATATTTTGAGTATTTAGTACAAAACTTTTAAGGCTATATATTGAAATGATTATAGTTTAAACAAAAGTATTGAGTTTAATGGAATTATTAAAATGAATATCTTCTTGCTTTTTAGGTAGAGCTACTAGAAATGTAATAGTATAGTAGTACAGGGCTTGCATATTACATTTCTATTGGACAGTGCTGATTTAGAAGCTATATCTAAGCTTTGTTAGGTAAATAATACATAGGCATAACACTTCAAAAATTTAATTTTTCATCCTCCAAAATATCTGAGTAACTGGTAATAGTATATCATTGTATTCAGTATATATCTATCTTAGGATTGACAGACTTTTAGACTCCATGCCAAGAAAGTCTATGATTGCAGTTTTGAAACTTGGATAGATATGTGTGTGTATACACACACATAAAGGTTTATTTTCACAAAAGTAATCATTGAAAATCAGTTTCCTTTTACTTACATTGCTTTCCATTCAAGATTTGAAGAAAACTCTCCAAGTATTCTGCTCACTAGGATGGCACAGATGGAATTCTAGTGGGGCTTCATTATATCTGTTTGTATTTCTTAATTATGTAGAAACTGCAAAACCAACAATGGGTAGAGAAGAATGGGCAGTAAGGTTGAATGGGTTTAAAAAAATGAAAACAGGTTGGAGCATGGGATAGCTTAAATGCCCAGGCTAAGAATCTGAATAATCTGAATCTGCTCTCTTTTATTTGCTTTTCTTGCAGTTGAGACATAAGTTATTAATGGTGGGACTGATATAATCATAGTTGTATTTCAGTAAGACTCACATGGCATAGAAAAATGGAGGCAATATGAGAGATGAAGATTAAATGTTTTCCAATTTAAAAACTCAAAAGACATAAATTAAAAATAGTACGGTGCCAGAGGCTCATGCCTATAGTCCTAGTTACTCAGGAGGCTAAGATCTGAAGTTCACAGCCAGCTTGGGCAGGAAGTTTATGAGACTCTTAGGTCCACTTAATCACCAACAAGCTAGAAGTGGAGCTCTGGCTTAAGTGGCAGCACTAGCTTTGAGTGAGAAGCTAAGGGACAGAGCCTCGACCCTGAGTTCAACTCACAGTACCAGAACATGTGTGTGTGATCTCTTGATCAGGTACTGTTCCTGAGCTCTTTTTGCCCAAGACTAGAGCTCTACCATGTTAAGCAGCAGTGCCACTTCCGGTTTTCTGGTGGTTAATTGGAGATTAAAAGTCACAGGGACTTTTCTGCTGGGACTGGCTTTGAACTGTGATCCTCAGAACTCAGGCTCCTAAGTAGTTAGGATTACAGGTGTGATTCACCAGTACCTGACTGGAAGTGAACTTTCAATCTCACAGATCCTACTTGTGTCCTCCTTCCAAGTTATCCTCCATATGTTGGGAATATGTTATTTCAAACAATGTAGCTGAACTTTGGGTTGTTCACAGAAAGAGATAGAATATAGCTATAAATTAGGAATCTGTAATGCACTAGAGAAACAATCTACTTACACCAGAAAAAAACAAAACAGAAAAACCCAATTTGTCATATCCTATTTTTTGTTATTAAAAATGATTGCATTTTTTGATTTTATAAATGTTTGAAAAACTAAGAAAGAGGTAATTGCAGCTTCTTAGCAAAAAAATATTTTTTCTAGCAAAAAATATTGGTACACAGCTAATCCAAATCAGAGAAAATGGAATGTGACTACTTGTTACTACTACCTACACTACTACCACAGTCAAGAAATATTTCATAAGACGGGCGCTGGTGGCTCACGCCTGTAATCCTAGCTACTCAGGAGGCTGAGATCTGAGGATCGCGGTTCAAAGCCAGCCTGGGCAGGAGAGACCGTGAGACTCCTATCTCCAATAAACCACCAGAAAACCGGAAGTGGCGCTATAGCTCAAGTGGTAGAGCACTCGCCTTGAGCTGAAGAACTGAGGGACAGTGCCCAGGCCCAGAGTTCAAGCCCCACGACCGACCAAAAAAAAAAAAAAAAGAAATATTTCATATTTTTAAAAAATACTCAGAAAATAAGGACTTGCAACTGCTGGAGATGATAGATTCTGTTGTCAATTATAATGATAAACTGGACAAACTAATGATGTTTTTCTACTTCCTGGGGCTCATCTTGATAAATATTACTTTATATGATCAGATGCACAGAGCCATTACTCCTTTGTGTTTCTCCTCTAAAAGTATCCTTCTTTGGTTTCCCTGTGTGTCAATGCCTATGGTCCTGTATAATTGATACTTTTTTTTCAAGTCACCAGGAAGAGAGGAATGTAAATTTTTTGTTTTTCTACGTTTGTTTTTTTGCTTTTTTTTTTTTTTTAGCACTGCTGGGGACCCAATCTAGAGCCTTATGCGTGGCAGGTAAGCAACTACCACCATGCTATGCTCTCAACCAGAGGTATATAATTCTTGAGAAGAAGGGGAAAGTGC